AAAATAATTGGTGCTTTCTTCTGCAGCCATAACAGATGTTCAATTTTTTAGAAAACTTTGATTGAAATGTAAGGTGACAATGTTGATACTATTCGTCCATGTTCGGGTTCAAGGTAATTTGCGGCAGTTATTAGTTCATCACTTTAATCAGAAAAGGCTGTAATTACATTCATTAAATTATTACAGCCACGCCTCAGTGTTATACTAACCTTTTCCGAGTTAGCGGAGTTCAAAATGCGTTTGTGGCAGTCAGAGGTGGGCAGTAGCGCGCTACATGTAGCGGCCGCTTCGTTTTCAGTAGCGGTAGCGGTAGCGACGCTCCATTTAAGGCAATTGTAGCGGTAGCGGTAGCGCCCGCTACATATTTAAGTAGCGATACGAGGTTTTGCCGCTACCGCTACATTTATAGATAAAGCCTTAGGATTTTACTTAATAGTATTAAACATTATTTAAAAACCAGCATGATACATACATAATATAAATTAAAGAATAAAACTGTACGAAAGATTTCGGTGTAATGTTGTCAACCTCAGCCTGTTACTAGTGTCAACATGTTAGTTGTTAGGCAACATGTTAGTTGCCTAATTCTGAGACATCCGAAACTACATGCCTGAAATCATTATAGCCACTGCGCCGGTGTAAAATTACAAAAATTTTCGAGTTTGATTGAGATCTAAGTTGATTTTCTTCGCTTATCTATCATATTCTGGAAGGACTAAACTCACGCACCTGGAATTTAGCCAGCCTCTGTGCATGTGTAAAGTTTACACATTTCTCGAGTTTGTGGAGATCCAAGTTCTTTTGCCGTAGCTAACCTTTCTGAAATAGCATCGGTTCATGTAGGAGCATGAAGGCATGTTGCACATTACGTGGAACACCTTGAAACTTAGGACTCGTATCTTCATGAGTGGAATGTAACAAAAGAATCTAATCATGTTTTGAATGTGAATTATTGATGAATATTTTAGTTAAGTTTGCACATGTTTTATTTCAAATTTATTATTCTGCGTTTTTTTTGTATTTTTGTTCACATTGGTATTTCTTAGAATGTATACTTTAGTTTTATGCATGTTAAATACAAGCATTCGAATATGTCTATTAAAATTTACTAATATTTATTTACGTGCGATTTCTGTGTATAATTGCGATTTCTGTGTGCGATTTCTGTGTGACATGCGTGCGATTTCTGTGTGACAACACAAATCTGCATGATTTCTTTTATAAATGACCTTAAATTTTCCAGAAATTTAGTAAATTTCAATGAATTTCACTTGTACTTAATTAATAATTCAAACTTTATTGACAATGCAAACTCATTTTCATGGACATATTTCAGGATTTAAATACTTTCTTCGTACGTTTATGTTTTAGTCTATCAAGATCATGTTTCTTTATATTAGATAATGTTGCAAAATGCTCTGCTATTAGACCTTTTATTACCTTTCAATCGTCTTATTCCAGGTAGGACAAAGTTAATCCAAAAAACGGCATCTATTTAATCGAGTGAAATGTTTAGATTTAAATACTCTGTGTGCAATTAGGTAATGAAAAATACAGTTGGAAAACAAGGATAAAGCTGTATTATATCTTTTCATGCTTCCCGTCATGATTTAATTCCTAAAGTATAAAACAAACAATTAACTCTTGAATACAATTATCTCTATAGGCTGAAACCCAGTAAAAAATCTAAGGCTTTTTTAAAACAATTTATGAGCAAAACGAGCCTGTAAAATCGACGTGTCCTTTGCATCACCGCTTCAAGCTCTTCAAAATACATCAGGGCAGACACATGCTGTGGAGGGGCGCAATAAGTGAAAAAATATAACTCAGTACTCACTGCAGTGAGTGACAGAGAGCGCATTTTCTCGTCGACGAAAACTTGAGGTCACGGACGGACGGACAGACGGACGGACAGACGGACAGACAGACAGACAGACAGACAGACGAAAATGGCGAGCACAATAGTGCATTTTTTCCATAAATGAGAAAATGCGCTAAAAAGGGGCACAATAAGTGAAATTTTTCGAAAGCACTCTAATTCTGGGTATATAACCCTATGTACAGTACTAAGTACAAATTGTAGCATTTATTCCTACTTATTCAAGATTGCAGCAGAAGGCTAACCACATGAGAAGCCATATTTAATATATATTTATATAATATATATTATTATATAAATTATATATTTATATATTTATATTTAATTACAAAGTAACATGTAGCCTATGCATAAATAAGCGCAAGCTGCCCAATACGTGCAGATCCTAGCAAGTGAACTTAACACAAAGGATTTTTCACCAGGCGTGAATTTTGTTAAGAAAAGCTAGAAGCAATCCGGTGATCGTAGCGAGTGGCTACAACACCAAAACTAGCATTTAATTTTGTTGTTCATTAATATTACCTTCTGAGATTATTCATGATTTCATTTACAAGTAACAAAATTGTATTTTTAAATTAGATAACATTTTCAAAATCGAGAGTGAAAATCTAGTTCGTTTGTTTGTTTGCACGACAATATTTGTTTGCGCATCAATGTTTATTTGCACAACAATGTTTGTTTGCACAACAATGTTTGTTTGCACGACAATGTTTGTTTGCACGACAATGTTTGTTTGCACGACATTGTTTGTTTGCACAACAATGTTTGTTTGCACGACACTGTTTGTTTACACGACAAAGTTTGTTTGCGCAACAATGTGCACAACAATGTCTGTTTGCACATCAATGTTTGTCGACTATGCAGAGTCCAAACAATGTGTAAACAAAGCTCATGAACGTCTTCGAAATCCAGGAATAATCTATTTCGAATCAGCTTGAAGTAGATGAATAATTCGGGACCAGCAGTGTTTAATATTCAGCCAGGAATAGAAAATTTTGTTAGCGTAATTTTAGAAATTACAAAATGTGCTGAATATTTTTGGATCTTTCCAGATTCCTACAAATTTATGTTAAAAAGAAATTGCGAGCGAGCTGAAAACGACGTGTTGAATTTGGATAGTTACCCTTCAATACACAACATATTTCACTTGTTCAGACCTAAAGCTAGAGATGCTCTCCATATTTTTATCATATGTGAGATGATACAAAGCCATATATTTAATATCATTGGCGTTTTTTCACCAAGAAGCGAAACTGGGCGTACAGGAGCGGGGTCGGTCTTTCGGATGGCATGCGAACACAGTTATTTTAATTAATTTACTATTATTAATTTAATACGTGATACCCTGCAAGGAAGGGTATCACGTTCTGTATACAGTCCATACGTCTTTCTGCTACAGACAACATTTAAATTACTATACTATTGTGCCACTAAACATAAAGGAATGCTTGATTTTTTAGATAATAATTCGTGAAAATTAAATATACCACAGTTTAAGAGTATGGCAAACGTTTACGTCAGTTCTGAGTACTCAATGTGTTCCTCCAATTCGATTAAAAGTCTGCTTGAGCGAGATAGCTTGCGAAATATTTCTCATGCATGAATAATTTCCAATTATAATGTGCAAATATTTATTCATTGGAAAACCATGCGTATTCAGATAACAGATGAGTCGTATTATTGCATGAAATAGTTTGATTCGAAAATATCAAGATTATTTAACAAGCTTTGATCCGAACGCGAATCTATACAATATTAAAGTTAAGTGACACTAAATTTTTGTCCTCAAGTGAAAACTTGTAGAAATTTCAGCAGCAATTGTATGCTTGGGTGGAATTTAAGAAGTCTGTACATGGAGGCCCATTTGTGTATTAATAATGAAAAGACCAATATCTTGATTTAGGTCTCAAACTTCCACGTTGTAAATGCCAGTTTTTCCCACTTTTATGAACGCTAGCCTCTTCTACTCTTTTGACTGATGCTTTATTCCACTTTTATAAATGCTAGTTTTTTTTCAACTGTCATTAGCGTTAGTTTTTCCTCATTTGTCGCACGACGTAAATCATTACATAAGAAACATTTTCTTAACCGCTAATCTTAATCAAGTAATCAAGTGATGGGAACTATTAAAATTGGGAACCTTAAATTAACGAGTTCCTGATTTATTTATTGGATTGATTATCTCGACCTAGATTCTATTTCAACACTGAAGGGTGCGTAACTTCGGAGGCAGAGGTGTTTCAGGTCAATTATTTTACGGTGAATGCTACCGGAGTAGCATTAGTAAGTACCGAAGTACATTAGTAGCATTAGTACATGTAGGAGCATGTAGTTATTTCTTGACTCATTTGCGATTCATATTTTAATGAACTCATCACATGGAAAACCTGTGCTTCACTTGATGGATGCAGTGAAACGGTAGGTGCAACATTTCAAACTAATTGCTTAACGGATCGTTATGAAGATATTTTCATTTTTCTTTACATTACTGCGTAAAATTAGCTTCTATTAAATAAGAAATTTCTATACACACGGAAGTGCTTAAGATATTCAATTGAAACAGTAGTGGCAATTAGAACAGTTGTGCTAAGATGAAATTTTGCTAATGGCTATCGAGGGATTAATTTCCCAAATCATAAGTCTTTTATGTCTCATAATCCCTCCAGTGAGAAAAAACCATGCATTCATTCTAATAAAGGAAATAATAACTCCAGTAGAAGGCGTTGAAGATCGCAAAGCTGAGTGGGAAGAGGATGCGGCAGTGCGAGTCAATGGCGAGAGCGAGATCCTTGGACGAGTTGGTGCTAACGTTGGCTAGCAGATGAGGTGCCAGCAGCGATAGGTCATTTACCATAGGCACTCGTCCGCTCACGTGCTGTAAGGGTAACTTAATTAATTATATTACAGATGTGCGCCAGCAGCGATAGGTCATTTACCATGTGCACTCGTCCGCTCACGTGCTGTAATGGTAACTTAATTAATTATATTACAGATGTGCGCCAGCATCGATAGGTCATTTACCATGGGCTTTCGTCCGCTCACGTGATGTAAGGGTAACTTAATTAATTATATTACAGATGGGGCGCCAGCATCCATAGGTCATTTACCATGGACACTCGTCCGCTCACGTGCTGTAAGGGTAACTCAATTAATTACATTACAGATGAGGCGCCAGCAGCGATAGGTCATTTACCATAGGCACTCGTCCGCTCACGTGCTGTAAGGGTAACTCAATTAATTGCATTACAGATGGGGCGCCAGCAGCGATAGGGCATTTACCATGGGCACTCGTCCGCTCACGTGCTGTAAGAGTAACTCAAGTAATTACATTACAGCTGAGGCACCAGCAGCGATAGGTCATTTACCATGGGCACTCGTCCGCTCACGTGCTGTAAGGGTAACTCAATTAATTACATTACAGATGAGGCGCCAGCAGCGATAGGTCATTTACCATGGGCACTCGTCCGCTCACGTGCTGTAATGGTAACTTAATTAATTATATTACAGATGGGCGCCAGCATTGATATGTCATTTACCATGGGCACTCGTCCGCTCACGTGCTGTAAGGGTAACTTAATTAATTATATTACAGATGGGGCGCCAGCATCCATAGGTCATTTAGCATGGGCACTCGTCCGCTCACGTGCTGTAAGGGTAACTTAACTAATTATACAACAGATGGAGCGCCAGCAGCGATAGGTCATTCACCATGGGCACTCGTCCGCTCACGTGCTGTAAGGGTAACTTAATTAATTATATTACAGATGGGGCGCCAGCAGCTATAGGTCATTTACCATGGGCACTCGTCCGCTCACGTGTTGTAAGGGTAACTTAATTAATTATGGTCAATGTTGATTGATTGAAACACATGCAGGGTGCTGTCCTTTTGGACATTTGAACCTTTTTTCTCATATTGGACATGCGCTTTCAAACAAATCATATTGGACATGAGTTATCAAACAAAAATCAAAACGCTGTTTTTGATTCCGTTTTGATAAGTGGGGGAGGGGAGGGAAATCATTCGTAGTCATTGTAACTTGCTCCTCATTATAAGAGGGTTTTTACTTCCGTACCATGAAAAACATTATCGACTGGCTCCCGTAAGCGTGCGGCCAGCACAAAATATTTCGCTTTAAACATTCTATATAAACAAAATAGAATCATTCGAAAACCTTGCCTAGAGCGCTTATACAGTAAAATCAGTAAATTTTTACGCCGTAAAGAACCACTGAACAAGGGTAAGTTCCATTTCGTAAGCTGTAAATATTATTGATTTGTAGATACACATATTGATATTGATTTACGTCAGCTCACCAATGGAAAATGTTTAATCTCTATCAGGCACACCTTTTCCATTAATTTCCATCTATCACTTCTTTCCATTAATTTATGAAACCGAAGAAGATTTTGTCGAGCTTGGAAACAAAGATTAAGATTATCGATATGCCATTCAAAAACCGATATCATATGCACAACATACAAAAAACTACCTGCATGGTAACCAAATTAACTATTCCCACCAGGAATTGTTGAAATAATGTTCATAAATGCATGGCGAAAAGATGTACGACCACTCCAATTCCAATTTTACTAATAAATTTTTAACTCTTATACGAGTTTATACCCCAGTTGACATCAACCGACGTCGTCCCCAAGGGCTAAGAAACCTTTGGGATAAGTGAATAAAGTTTCATGACAGCACAGGGAAGGGTTCCATGACCATTTCCACACCCGTGTTACAAATAATTTTTAACTTTTAGCCGTACAATTTTTACCCCAGTTGACATCGACCGACGTCGGCCACAAAGGCTAAGAACAAACCGTGATGTTCCCAGGCGGGACGGCGAAGAGATTGGGGTCCATGCCCTGGTCTAGATCAGCTTTGCCGTTGCTGTTGGAGCATTGCTGGCAGCCTGCCTGGAGATGTGGGTCAGCCTTGCAGTCGTGGGTTAGATCCTGTGCTTTGATGTTCCTAAGGCCGTCCATGGATTTGGGCGCCTGCACCTTAGGGGGCTTCCTCCACATGTAGTTGGCCAGGGTGAACTCCAGAAGAGCGCAGAACACGAAAGCTGCGGATAAAAAGCTTTATGGTTTCAAGAAAACAAAGCATATTTGATTAATGGCAGATAACTAACGACCGAAAAGTTTCCTACTACCCTAAGATTTTCTTACTGAAAAAATCCGATAATCCATGCTCCTATTTGATCCAGACAAAAAATGTTAAACTAATTTTCCGAATAAACGCACTAAAATTATATTAAATAAAATTAAATTCTATCAGTATGTGGAAGCTCCCCCTTTTAACCGAATATGACCAAAGAAGTAAACAATAATAATAATGATAATCGAAACAAAAGAATTTCCGCAAAGAGGTATAAATTTAAGTGATGATTTGGAGCGTGTAGCAAAAATCCCCGCGATGTGTTAGGAGACACCGGATTGATACCGGACGCCATCTAGGGTATTTGATAGCGTCAAAATTACGTGTCGTAGCTCATATACTTGATTATTTGTGGAAAATAGGAAATTTAAATTCCGATTAATGAAATGATTAAAAAATATACGATATCGTTTGTTCCTTTGCGGAATAATCAACTGATTTTCTTACCAAGTTGTATTATTTTTCGCAAATATGTTTTTATTAGGTGACACTGTATGTTAGTTGTTAAATTCTGATTAAGTAAAAAATGAAAATGTGTGCCTCAAATTTTAAAAACAGTTTTACTTAAAATGGAGTTTTGGACGCGCACAGGATTTTATCAGCCTTGTTGATGGTATATACTAAATTCTATTAATTAAAGATCGAACAATGCAATCAATATTACAATAAACAATTGATTCATGAAACTTAATCAGTTAAATTATTCTCCTCATTGTTACTGATTGGAAAATTGTCTTTTTTCTGTAGCCTTGTGATAGAATATTTTTATTGGCATTATTATTATTTCCCCGATGTTATTGAAATATATTCTGAGATAGGTAAAAAAATTCGTGGGTATATGCCCGATGTAAACCTGATAATTGCTTATGTCATAATATTCAATACATATTATATGTATCAATCATTTAAAAATCAGTGTTTTAATGGTATTTATAGTAATATCTTGATCAATTATCTATCATTAAGTTTATTGTACATAGAATTTAAATTAATTATGAATGGTGTGTTTTTGACACAATAACATTACCAATGAGATCATTCAGCTGGCAGAGCTCGAAGATAAATAAGACGACCCGAGTTCTCTCTAATGAAATTTGCTAATAGACTTTAATAAGCAGAAAATTAATGTAACTAGATTATTCGTTAGTGTAAGACGCGAGTTCAGAGAGGCACGATGAACCCGAGGCAAATGCACAGTGCCCCAAACTCGCTGCCAAATCACATCTCGCTGCGCAGAGTTTCTCGCTTTCATTTAAATCCAAAATTCAGTAGCAGTGTGAATTTGCACGTCGTTTCGCTGGAGTAGATCGCCGTGTACGACTTGCTGGCATATCCTAGATATATATCCCTTCTGCTGCTGGCATATCCTAGATATACATCCCTTCTGCTGCTGGCATATCCTAGAATATCACAGTTTGCAAGCGAGTGTTATCATTTCGGGGATGGAATACTAGAGTAACTTTGGAGCATTCACCGTTGATGATGTTCGGCGGGAATGCCACAGGTTATAAACATTTTATGTAAAACAAATTGAAATAATGATGTTTTATTACGTGAAAATTTAGCGTTATGCAACAAGGAAAATTGTTCGCTTGCAAATTTGTTTTTCGCTGCGTTAACGTAATTTATTTACCGTTTTTTTCGAATTTTGATCGATAAATAAGTTTGAATGTAGTGTTGAATCGTATGAAAAACCACAATGATTGTGATGAACTAAAAATCAAATTTATTGTAATGAATAAGTTATTTATTGTTGACTTTCATTGATTCTAACAAACTGCTCCACAGTTTTCGTAATAGAAATTCCGACTGATCGATCAATCATTACTTTTGTTACCTAAAGAAATATTTGATGGTAATGTAAAGAACTATTTATTTTAATAAAAAATATGAAGACTTTTAAAAATAAGTTCAATAACAATGAAAATGCTAGTAGCATCAAAATAAAGTAACGATAGATATCCATGAAATTTGTTCTTCAGTCCCCTGTAATATAGATTTAATATTTATGGAGGATAAATATTCATAATATCCGTAGTATAGACAATCCCCGTAAAAGAGACGATAAACATCCATGAGATTTGTTCTTTAGTCCCTCGTAAAATAGAGTTCACGTCAACAGAGGAGACGAAACAAAATACTAAGTAAACAAGCTCGGGTAATTTCTTATTTCTTCAGCCAAACTTTTAGAAGGAAAACATTTTGAATTGGGATTATTCGATGCCCCTAGGGTGCCTTCCTAATGTATAAAAAATATCTACATGTCTCTGAAATGATATATCGATAATTCCATATTACTAGAAACACATAATACCTATATATAATAGAATAATTTATTTACTATAGTCATAATTTGTAAGGTAATTTTCGTTTCTTGAAGAAGCTTCGGCTGAAAGCTTGAGCATCTTTTAAGAGCTGTGATTATATATATATTTTTTTCGATTAAAAAAATCGGATTTTAAGGAAGATTTGCGCTAATCTGCGAAATCTACTAATACAATGCACAAATCTATTAAATTAATGAAACTTTTACATTATAAAATAATGTAATAGCCAATCAAACAAAATCATACGTTTTTTTCCATTTTTTTTTAATAATGGTAATCATAGAAGCTTGAAAACAACCCATTGAATGTTGAACCTTCGACCCATGGATGAACTATAGGAAGCTCGGACAAAGTTGCTAATGATACCTTCATTAGGCACTCAATTTTTAGCCGAATAATGTCAGAAGTAAACTTTTTTCAAAATAAATTTAGTTTATTTAGAAAATTAAATAAATATAGTATCTTTTTCCAAGCGTTATTACTTTTTAGCACTACTTCTTTTTTAGCAATGATTGTTCCGGAATTTATTACCTGTGCAGGCACCCATCCAGACATCGATGGCTTTGACGTAGGAGACTTGCGGCAAGTCGCCCTGGATCTCTGCACGGTGAACAATGCTAAATACAATGAATAAAAAGTTCATATTAATAGTTCAGAAAAATAAAATACAAATTTAAATACTGAGTGCGATGCATTGAATGCAGAAGTTGAAATACAATGAAGAAAAAATTCGAAATAATAGTTCCGAAAAATAAAATACAAATTTGAATACTGAGTGCGATGCATTGAATGGAGCCGTACTAGTTGAATATGATCTTGAACTTAGGCCAATTCTATGGTAAACCTGAATTAATTCTTAGTCACGGGGATAAGCCGAAAGTTACTGCTTTTAATTTGTAATTTTATTCAGATAGATCCTGAGAAAGAGCTGGTCATGGGAATCAAAAGTTATGTTGATTACTTGCCTCAGAAGTCACGGCGATTACATGTAGAAAATTTCAAGCTGGAAATATATGCAATCGAGAAGTAAAGATTGAATTGGAACAAATTCGATAGATGATTTAGTCGAGTTCCGCAGGTACGTCAAATTTATGGCATAGACAGAACATTATATCGAAAAATTGATCGTTTAATGTTTAAAATGAAGTAACTAATTGTATTAGTTTAGAGAGGAGAGGATAAAACCTACATGTGTCATCCTTTCGAGAAGCATGAGAATAATCAAGTCATGTCACGAGAATTTTTTCTTGTGTCATGAGAATCATGAGAATCAACTGGGGTATACTGACACAAATTTGTGGCATCGACTGAACAACATATCGAATAAGGGAAGATTTGCATGAAGATCATCAGGGCTTCATGTTGTGATATTGTTTATGATATTCAAAATATAACAGTCTTGAACACAAGAGAAGTCTCTTTGTGGAATGTTGTGTCAATGGTCAATTATGACCATTTCCTCCGTAAATTTTTATTGCTTTATATATTTAAACACATCAAGTTCACCAGGGTAATTGTAAACGCTATTAAAGAGACCACGGATGTCGGATGAATTCCAGTTTTGATCTAGGAACAAATTTCAGACAAAGCTTCGAGCGCTGTTCAGGTGAATTAAATTCAGGGCTGGTACTACTTTCCGGATGAATAATTTAGGTATGATTCTTTCATGCATATAAAATGAAAGTGGCTTATCCAATGTTCAATTTAAAGTAGAATTGGACCGAAGTTGTAAATAATGCGACGTCACGAAGTGTGACTTAATTATGCTATTTGAACGAACTCATAATATTAGACTTAAGATTAAAGCCAAATACTAAATAACGCTAAAAAATAAGCTCGTAATTTCAAACCAAGTGTTGCACAAATGCATGTTTAATATGAACCTGATAATTGAACTTAGAATACAATAGCGTGGAGATTTTGTTATTTATAGATTATAGTGTTATGCTTAGTGTTATACTGTGTTATTTATACAAACAAATAACATAATATTAACCCGATTATTTAGACGATTCAGAGGAATGCGTAACCTTAACCTGATGATTTAGACGAGATGGTGAGCAGCGTGGTGACTCCGAGTGTAGTTCGGCCTGGTGCAGAGCCGATGTCCATCCAGAAGCTGACCCAGGAGATGGCCACGGTGAGGATGGTAGGCAGGTAAGACTGGACCAGGTGGAAGCCCAGCGACCGACGCATGTGGAACTCTGCCACTAGGCAGCTGTAGTTGCCTGAGATGATGTGAAGGGTAGTAGAACAATGGCTTAAAATGACGCAACGTGGAGTAGTACAACGGCCTGAAATGACGTAGGGGGGATCAGAACAATAGCTATAAATAGCGTAAAGAAAAGTATAACATCAGCATGAAATGACATAGAGAGGAGTAGAACAACAGCCTGAAATAACGCAAAGAGGAGTAGAGCAATGGCCTGACATAACATAAAGAGGAGTAGAACAATGGCATGAAGTGACGTATAGGGAAGTAGAACAATGGTGTGTAAAAGTATAGATTCGCGAATGTTACGGTTCAATAATGTCTTTGTTTCCAAATGTTTGGTGCACGAACGCATTGCTTTACAAACACATCAGATCGCTTACGTCTAAGTCTCGATTGTCTGCGTTCACTGACGTCTAATTTTCCGAATGTCTTATTTCACGGTAGTCTTAATTGTTAAGTGAACGCCTACGATTACGAATATATGGGTAATGAATTGTTTTGATTCCGAAATTCAGGAAATATATACGTTAAAGCTACAAAAGTCTACGTTTGCCAACGCCCTGGGCCTAAATTTTCAAAAAAAAAGTTAAGAGATCGTAAGTTCATCAGCCAATCATTGACGGCCTTTCAAGCAAAATCCACCAATCATAGACAAGAAAATAGAGCGTAAGTATTTACGTTCACTTAGCGAATTTTGAAAGTATGTCCCCTGGTTCTCTCATCTCTATGTACACGAACGTGTATATAGAAATGAATGTGGAAAAATATTCACGATGAAGAAAATCAAAATATTTCTTTTTGATAGCATGGCTCAAATATTGGAGAATGAACATAGAAACTATGAGTATTTGCGTTGTTGGTAAGCGACCAATTAATTTCGAGCGACATCTAAAATCGATAGAAATCGATAAAAAATAAAAATAACATGAAATAACACTAACATTAAAAAAGTAGATTTAAAGGTACAAAATTTGTAAAAAATACATATAAACATGGAAAACTTTCAAAACTGGAATGGTTACATTTATTTACATAGTATAAAGTAAATGACTAAACATGGAAATTGCATTATCATTGATCATATATTATTTTTTTAAACAATAAAGATCGGGAGATGTTGAGCGGGTCAGCAGCAATGTACGCGCTTTTGACGTTCTTTAATTTTTAGGGAAATTTATTCATGATTTAATCATAATCCACTTGTGTTGTATGTCTGTAGAATTATCATCGCATGTTGACAGTTATTTTCGTTATTATGATGGTGCCAATTTAAGTTCAGGACTCTAGGTACACGCTCGTCTGGGCGGTTAGATTTCGGTTAAAGGCAGCTTATGCTCCTTCCATCAATCTCAACTCTAATGATCAATTAAATGGGTGAACCTATCAACCTGCTTCAGAAATTGATGCGTCAGGGCACCGTAAGTGAAAATCAAAGTAACATTATCGGTGGCAAGACCTATATTTTGCTGGCAAGACCTATTTCAAGACCTATATTTTGGAAAATATTCCCATTTTAGTGCCAAATAAAAAAAGTAGATGCCCCTAATATCCATTTTAAAAGGGAAATACGAAATTAAATTTGGAGATGAGTGAGGCTTGGTTAAATGCTTGTGTTAGAGAGGCTGGTGTTAAACATGATAGTATATCTTACCTATTTATCGAAATAAAGTAGACCGCACAACGTTATGCGACTTATGTCAAAAGGTAGATTATAAATGTATTTATTTGGTTTAGAGGTTAGTGACATCTTTTTACTGAAGCAAAAAAATACCGATAACCACAAAAGTGATCTGGATTCAATTTATTATAGCATTTGAGATACTAAAATGATATATAAATAGCTAGATTTCCTTATATTAGCGGTAGTCCGATTTCATGCAATTATAGTGAACGAGACGTGGACGATATTTTAAAATATTGGGTATTTCACTGGACAGAGGAATGTTCTATAGCATATATATTTACATCAAACGCGCAATTAGATCCCACTTAGCTATAAGAAAAAATTTGTTCACGGAGCTGACTAGCGTGAGTTAATATAATATAATATAATATAATATAATATAATATAATATAATATAAAAATTTTATTCCATTAAAACGGCTCGTTAGAGGAAATATTGAATAACAGCTGCGCAAGTTAGTCTAATGTCATTAAAATGGCTTGTTAAAAGACATTTTTTAGTGCTGGTCTTTATGGCGAGAAAGTTCACCATAGTTTTATTGGAGACACACGAGTAATTTTCTTACATGAAAGCATGAGTTTCAGTTTAGACATACTGTATTACTTTCGTAGTATTTTTCTAATAAATGTAAAATGAACGTTCATACATGGTGTATGAAAACTAAGACTAACACAAAAATAAAAAGAAGGATTTTTAATCTAAATAAGTGAGGGTGAATTGGGAAAAATTAACAGCTTATCACGATTTTTATCTATTTTACAGACAAATAATTTAACATGGTGCGTTTGAAACAATTCTGAAAAGATGGATATTGTCATTTCACTGATCGTAGAGTGAAACTAAATTTTTTATTGCATGTAAAAAAATGTGGGAGTGAGTTTCCGTAATTATATCTAATCATACAAATTTTTTGAACCGAAATTTCACCAGTTAACTTCAGAAACATTCTGAGTCATTTTCGGCATGTGGTCCGCTACTCTAGAAAAATCTTAACGAATCGTAAGTGGTGCAGAATGTATGGGTAAAAAATAACATTTTCTTCAGAAATCTACCTTGGAAATTCTATACAGACGAGGAACAAAATAAAATGCTCAATAGGATTTCGAAAAAAAGAACCAACTGCAACTTCAAAAACGTGTTCACTTTCTTCCAAAATTACATCTAAAGCAACCAAATGGAATGCGACATGGCCTTAAACTGCGCAGGTGCAGGGAGACACGATGGAAAACTTTTAATAGTAAACTAAACCAACGCTGCATGACCGAGAATAACGTATTTTTAAGAGGTGAGTAAAGAGAATGAATCTTAGGTCCCGCTGGGATTGCGCCAAAATTACCGCCAAAATTTCCAAGAAACTGCACCCTGAACTTTATAATACTTTTCTCCCACACGTTTAGAGCTACGAAATACGAGGCAAGTAACAGGCATGGAATTAAGTAAATGAATACCCCTATCGAACTACGTAATGTATTATTTTAATAACTGAAATTCTGTCCAAAAATATACTAAATATTCAGACGTAACCTCTCACCACTCACTTGTGTTGAACAATTTAGTTGAGGACGAAGCCTCCCACCACTCACTTGAGTTGAATAGTATGGAATCAAATGTAAATCAATGTTACTATCTTAATTCTTATAGGGGAAAATATTAAATTCATATGGAATAGTTCCTTTTGTCTCCTTCATTTAACCATTACGAGTAAATAGTGTAAAGTATTAAAACATCAGAAATAAATTCCATAATTTGGTTGACTATGAGTGATTGCAAGCTCTTCTTTGTTACGCGTGTTCTCATGTTGAAATTCAAGATTGTGACAAACTCCAACGACTGCAATCAAGCAACGTGGCAAAATAATCAATCAATGAAGCTCAGAGTTCAAACATTACTTCATGCTAGAGTTCAACCTTTACTGTCCGATTGAACGCATTTATCTATACGTTCTAAAGGGCAGGTTCTATTTTGACAGTAATTTTATGCGTATTATAAGGGGTGGGACTTGAGGACAAGATTGCTTCATTGTCGTAAATCTAATGCTAAGTAAGCCAACATTAAAACTTCGATCAAATGAAACGCCGTTCGTAATTCATTAGTTAATTGAATTTGCATGCAAGTGAGACGATTCTGAGGGTTTAAGCCACACAAAGACTTGTTCCGATTGAGGCGGCAGTGGAACTTTATTATTATTTATATTGTTATTATATTTATTATTATTGGATTAGGTCGCCGTGCTGCATTTGATCATTCGGTATTGTGGTTTGGTGCTGGATGCGTGGTGGATCAAGTGAAATGTGAATTTTGTTTTCAACTTGGACGGATAAATTTAAATAAATCGCGATTTCTAGTTCGATAATAAATCTTTTCGGGTTATAATTCAATTTCTTTTTAATAAGAAGCTTTGTTGCTATGCGTCTCTGAAATTTCATTTACAGTATATCAGACTCTTAATAGGCATTTTTAAAGCACATTCCCATATTAGAAACATTAAACTTATTCCATACTCAATCAGATATCGTAAAAAGGATTGAATTCAATGTATGTTTTCTTTACATTAGGCGTCCAGCTAGCGAGTTCCAGTGATTTATCTTGTTTATTTACAGCTGAAATGGACAATATTTGTCTAGTCATTGTTCCGCGGCGAAGAAGCATTAGCGGTTAATCCGATCTTGATGCTGAGAAGCACGCGTTGCTCTGGCTGTTGCGCGCTGGTAAACCTAATGTTGCTGCTGAGCGAAATATATTAGATTTCTGGATAGAGTCCTTTGTTAGAAGTGCGCTCGGACCCGCGATTCCATCGGTATTTTTCATGGCAAGAAACAAGCTATTTCCTAAAATACGGCCAATTGCTGTCCAATATACACAAGAAAATCGAATCTTCTACTTTTTAGGTACTTTACGTTGGGAATTTAGTTGGCCGGAATTGATAACCGGATGAAGAGAAGATTGAAAATTGATTGATAACCGGAAGCTGAAGATTTATTAATTTATTTAATTTTTTGGTCGAAATAATAAATAATTTATTAAATATTAAATAATATTATTTATTTGCTCGTCGAAATATAGCGTATTAAGTTTCAAGAGTGCGGATGAATGTAGATTTTTTTGATATTGTTGAAAATTCTCGCTTAACATTGTTGTTTGAATGATACTAATTGAAAATATCGTTGGAGGTAACTTAGCATGGTGACGATGCACAGAGCAATCTCTAAACACGTCCATTTCCGAACATTGGTGTTGCAAAAGCCCATTAGATTTGCGAGAACTTTCGAGTTTAATTTCAGGAGTTATGAATACTAATTCTATTTTAGAAGCGATTTTGATATTGTTGAAAATTCTCGCTTAACATTGTTGTTTGAATGATACTAATTGAAAATATCGTTGGAGGTAACATAGCATGGTGCCGATGCACAGAGCAATCTCTAAACACGTCCATTTCCGAACATTGGCGTACCAAAAGCCCATTGCGGTGGGGAGTTCACAATGTAATCAAGCAGATGACAAAGTTCTCGCTCGGCAACTCGCAGGAACGCAGGCAACTGATGTTTAACAATGTTTAAACTCGAGTTTCTAGTTTTATTATGAACGAAATAATTGTGTAATATTATACTGGGTCGATAAAGTTTTCATGTAGAGGAATAAATTCATGATTTTGCCGATCGTGTTGAGAGTGCGCAATAAATTGAGTTAAAATTTAGTAAATTGAGTAATTGAGTAAATTGAATGAAATTACACATGAAAGCCGAATAAATATACATAGATTTCTCATCAAGTTCTTATATTGAATGAAACTGTTGACTTTAAAACTTTGAACATATCATGGTTTTCAATTCAAGAATAAGTGTAAGACACTGAGGCAATGACAAAATGCCGTATATCAAATACATATATATATTCTTTTTAATTACTGATATATGTATATGTATATATTATATTATTTATATGTTTATTAATTATATTATAGTTATTATTTACATATTTTGATTTAACTCAACAAATACATTTTATTCTTTAGTGGTTTCAAAACTTTCTGTTTCACGTAATTTTTTCCGGAAAAAAATTAAAGCTTATATGTTAATTAAATTAAAAAACTTTGAATAAAAATCTTGAATGCGCATACCTAAGTCCGTAGACTTTATGATATGTTCCATCGTAATAAGCCAAGGCGTGAATCTCTACTGATGGTAGTTAGATGATTTTCGGGCAGGATTACACTTATATACGAAATATCAAATATTCATGTTGATGGTTGTAATTAAGGTATATTCAAAATGTATTGATTTATGAATTTTTTGCGATAATATTTTTTCATTGAGGGAAAATAATTTTTTTCATTTTTCACTTTTGAATAATAATCTAAGCATCAGGATCATAAATTTCTGCCATTTGTGCCAATAAATATATATATATATATAGTTGAGACGTTATAATATATATATATATATATATATATATTAGCTCTGCCCATCATCAATATATGAGAAAATTTCCATTTTTAATTTGCGAGATGACTTGCTATGACTAAGCGCGTCTCAAGCTTAATAATGTCGGGAATTTTTTGTTTCTCGTATTCTTCCCGAGTAAGACGCTCATACGCCTAAATGAATTAATAAATTGTATATATAACTTCATTTGAGCTCGGTTAACCCCTAAATTGTTTGGCTGGGATTGATGAATGAGCGCCAGATCTTCATGCGGAATCTATTTACTAATATCTGCATCTCATTCTTAAGAGCATTTTGTTTATCGCAGACTTTTTGCTTGATTAATCAGTTGCCTGGGCCATAAACTTCCCATGTAAAATCTTTTGACTGCTGAGGATGTTAATATCGTGGTATCATGAATTTTTTAATATTTTCGACTGTGCAGATTATTTTGTTAATTTTTATCATATTTTTCATACTTTTTTTGTCGACAAATATTAACCTCTAAGGATAATATATTCTACACAACAGTCACACTATTACAATATCTTTGCATACGATCCAATTCACTCGTATAGTTGCGTTATTTTATTTTTCGAGAAATTTGTGCATATATTCTGCCATATTGTTGCTTCTTCGAACAAATTTTGGCCCCATTGCTCTCAGCTAATAGTTTTTACCATTATTAATTACTATATATAATTTTCTGCAATACCTTTCCAACCATTACTTATACCTAATGGAACTTTGCGGTTACCATATTACTTATCACTGTAATTTTATCGTCCACTTATGTTACAGAATTCATTTTCTGTATACCGTACAGCCTCATAACATTTACATATTATCGATGTAAACAAGCTAGTTGAGTGGCTCTTCCGCAACACTCACTTGTGTTGATTTAGTTGAGACGTTCCCTCTCACCACTCACTTGTGTTGATTTAGTTGAGACGTTCCCTCTCACCACTCACTTGTGTTGATAGGTCCCGGTACATCTTGATAGGATCGTCCTTCTTCCAGCGCAGGTCCAGCTCCTTCATTGTCTTCGAAACTGGAACGAAAAGGAAGTGAGTTTAGACAGAGAGTAATTAATTAATTTATATTTTATGAATAGTATTCATTGTCAAGATTGTCGGAAGAAAATATGCAACTTAATACAGAACATCGGATACAATATTTAAATAAATACAGAATATTTATACGGTGTTATTGAACGTAATATACAACAAATGAGAATTGTACCGAATTGTTTGTAAGGCTTCACCGTGCGTCGTATACAATGGATAAGCAAATACAGAATCGTTTGTATGACATTACTAAACAGATGAATATCTTGAATCCAAAAGTTTCCACAGAGTAATGATGAATTTTAGATTAATCATGAAATAATCCTTGCATTTTCAGGTGGGTATTATAGAACATATCGCAATGAGTTCTTGATTTACGGCATATTATACTATATTATATCTCATTATTGTAATGTGAAATTTTAATGCATTCAATTTATCCGATGTTCACATAACTTGATTAGCTTATCAAAAGGGGAATTTACACCCTAAACGCAAACCTAAACGCAAATCTGTTTATTATCAGCTCGTATTATGAAGTGGACAAACAATATAAAATCCAGCAGCTGATGGCCGAGTCTTTATCCTCCTTGAGAAGGATTTCAATGCACCAAATATCCTCAGCATCGAGCAGCTCATCCATCAAAGTCTCGACCTTCTCTACCATCGATCCCAAGAAAATATAAGTTTGCTTTACCGATCATTAACGGTCATATTGCGTTGCACTTTAATCCCGCTAGACTCGTTCCATACTCATACTCCATCAATTTTTTAACAAAGTGGGGCATGCGAATGAGTAGAAAACTTTGTGATCAAGTCAGAGTTTTGAAAAATACATGAGAAAAGTGAAGGGGGATTAGAAATTTTTTTTATTCCCCGCCAAGTTGGGAAAAACCAATTTGTTTCCCGAGATAGTTCCAACAATTTCCATAACAAAAAAAATGTCAACACGATTGTTAGTTTCTCAAGTTGTGCATCTATAGAGTTATAAAAACTTTAAATTAGGTTGGGCTTACAAACGAAGTTTTAACTTTAAAATCCCTTTAAATTAGCATTTAATTAGAATTGGCCCAATTTTTATTCAATCGCTATAGTTGGACTCAACAATCAACAACTTAATGTTTGCTGAAAATGCTGATAGGCTCGAATATGAATGGAAATATATAAAATTCAGAAAAATTAAATGAAATAAAAAGAATTAAAAGTAATAAAAGAAAAATAAACGAAATAAAAAAGTTAGAATGATTAAAAGAATAAGCGAAAATGCACTAAATTATTTGGAATCGCAAGGTTAGCTCTTCTTAAATGGTGAAAATATTAGCGCCTCAGGAAACCCGATAGAATACGCACCCATGTTATCAATGTAATCTTCGAACAAACATTATCAACATAAAATAGATTTGACTCCATGTTCTTTATTCATTGGAATCAAAAGCTCATGAGCTTTTTATTTATTTTCCAGGAGCACTTTCGGTCAATCGCCTAGCCATATCAACTGCAAAAATTACAGCAAGTAAATCTTCTCAACGTGTTTACCCTGAGCGCCTCCTATAGCATCGACAGTTTAATGATCAGCCCAGCAATCGGGAAAATATATTGATTTTTCCTTCAGTCAGTCCATAACAAATCTTGCTAGATTGCTGTATTGCAAGGCAAGAAGTTTATTGTCTTCGTGTGGAGCCTCTGCGACAATAATTCGTTGCGCGTAAGCCAGTTGAGCTGCCAGTCTCGAACTCATTCGTGTCTTTTTCACAACGATTTTTGTCGTTCTTCTATTCACGACTCTGAGTGCATCGGTTATTTGGGGTTGATGATCGCTTTTTTATAATTGTGTACCCTCATTGTGATGTTTTCGATCTGCTTTTTTACACTTTAATATTTTCCTTTTCTTCATGATCAAAATATTAAAAAACTAATAAAAAATAATAAATATATTTTCCTTAATAAATGAAAATAGTACGATAACGCTTAGGTACGTTGTATGTATTCATATAATTCGGAATAACTGCAACGAAAAATATTTCAAATTCTGTGGACTGAAAGCGAAACTGTCAGAGTTTATTATTTTTTAGCCCTGCAGGAGGCTTCATTGTATTATTTATTTAGGACTCGTGCATAATTCTAAATAATTGTAATTGTTAATTTGCAGTTTACATTCACTTCACCAGCAACATAGAAGCGCCCAGGTTCCATCATGACTACAGGAAACAGAGTGTAAATCTAAACTTGAGTGTCAGCTAGCCTAATTTTCTGTTGTACCATCTTTGATCCCCTCTACTTTATGAAACAACCAACCAAACAACCAGCCCCTGAAATTCAACCATTTCGTTGTGAATGGATTCTTTTGCCGTTGATTCTCATAGCATTTATTTCCTCAAATGTTTACCTCATTAATGAAGCATCTGTTTCCCTCAGCGACATATTTATCACAAACATCGTTGTATTTATGCCTCGAGTGTCTTGTTGGGGTGCCATCTAAAGACGTTGTCGGAACGTGTGATCAGAATTATTTTCTTTGTGGTCACTCTGCGTTAAAAAGCTTTAAAGCTTCCCTTGAACAATGTAGTTGCACTGCCTTTTTTCTTTCCATTTGATTTACTAATTAGTTCCTGACTCTGGATTTACACATAGGCTCCTAAACCGGTTGTAATTGTGATACTTTGCACATATTACATTTCTATTTAATATTCTGAAGCTACTCACTCGGGACAAACCAGCAGGGAAACTGAAAAGTTAGATTTAAATTAGTTCAGAAATTACTTTGCCTCGCATAGCGCAAGCTCAAAATGTTTAAATAATTTAGGGAATCATTTTACTGTTTTATTTATTACAGAAAAATTATTTTAATTTATTCATTATTACTGTTCCTTTTATTAAAGGGAATTTATTTGTTACATTATTATTGTTCACCATAAAAGGATTAAAAAATTAAAATCGGTACTCACAGCTGGCGACTTCCATTGTGCAAATTTGCGAGTCGAAAGGAAACTTGGAGAGATCCAACATACAGGAGAACACAAGCTTCAGCCTGCCAGAAATAAATGAAAAATTTTCAAATTGGAATGAATTTTGTGCTTTAAGCTTATATATTCACTTAACATAATATATTACTTATATGTAAGTTATATCGTTAAAAGTTTAAGTTTAGAGCTTAAGTTATATTGATTATATGTAAGATAAGCGAGTTCGTAGTTATCGGGTTTGGAATGAACAGTACTGTGATATATAAAATGAGAAAAGCGTCTTATAATCAGTCATCTAATTACAGACCAGGAAAACTGATTTTATTTCTGAATAAACTCCTCATAAAACGAACAGCATAACAGACGTGAAATTCGTGCCATGAACACTTGGCTAACAAATGTCGGTTCACCCTTCACTATTTGGTAAACGTTGTGAATCTACTCCTAAATGTTTAAATATATGTTTCGAAAGAATTTTCGATTAAACGTTTATTCTTAATTGCAAAATTCAAGTAAACCTATATATATTTACAGGATCCATATGCTGTTCAATAATGTATAAGGAAATAAAAATGTGCTCGATTGTCATCGTACGCCGCATACATCAAAAGAAAAGGAAGATCCTTTCGCGAAGTATTCAGTAAAATAGAAAATGACCTCGATTTTCTTCAGAGTTAAAATGAGGCAATTTTACAATGTCGATCAACGTGTCGTAATAAAAAAAATTAAACATTTATTAATATTATTTTATCGATAGAATTTATCTCGATTAATTTTTTTGCGATAAACTCTCAATTTGATGTCTCCTAAATTTATGGTGAAAGCAAAAAATTAAAAGTGACAGCCCTGCTCATGTTGCAGTACCGTATGCCCCATGCCCTTGTTGGACAGGCATATCGTTGTCATATACTCCACGGAGGCTAAATGTCTCATTTCGTTCCCCGCTCGCTGCCATGATGCTAGACGTTATTTCACCGGCCATCACATGGCTGCTGAAGGCCGCATATAATGCTCCTATAATTTTTATAAGAGAGCAGTGTAAATGTCATATTGTGTTCATTAGACTTTTCGCGACACTTACGAGGCCCTTATTCCTGATTGAATTACAGTGGTAATATTAACAGACTGTGCATGAGGAATGTATTGAGGAGAGAGTTTCATTTTCATCCGGTCTTTTGTTGTTAACTGTTGTTCTGATTAGGGGACATAATCTAAATTATTTAAAATATACCAGGAGACTTACTTTCAGCTATTTTGAACGTCGGTAGATTGTTTACTCCCAATTGTGCTCGCATATATGTAAAAACGCGAAAAAATGGACTATGCAATAACATTTGCGCCTTTATTCATGGATTGCTTTATGGACTGGTACGATTCCCTTCATTTAATAATTTAAAAATGGACGATGCAATAACATTTGCGCCTTTATTCATGGATTGCTTTATGGACTGGTACGATTCCCTTCATTTAATAATTTAAACACATAATTCATGGAACCATGTGTGTCGGTTGGCAGATTAAAGGTAAATATTCCACGAAAACAAAATTCGCTTCTAGTCAAGTTATATGCCGTGAATCCTGTATATTTAAATGAATTAAGCTATGCGAGTTTTAAACTGAGAATTTTATACATTATAATATATTCTTCCTGAGAGGCATGAAATCAGGCATGAAATTCGAGCGTTTAACCTGATAGTAGAATTAGTGTGAGTGGAATCAAGATTAGGGATGAATTGCGATTGGTTTCTGCGAAATTCGGACGCTTCATTGGCTGCCTCAATCATGCAGACCGTGCGCTAATGGAATTCCTCTACCCAAATTCACGTGTAATAATTCAATCAGAGCAAGAGGTTTCTATGGAAGCCCTTTTAATCATAGACATCGGCCAGACAAATATCAAATTCAAGCATTTAACCATTTCATATGACATTAAGTGAGCATATAGACACTGGAGGAAAATAACTGCGACTGAGAATTGTTTAATTTTTATGTGAGTAATTATGTTATTCGCTTCATGTGAGTAATAATTCATTCATACAAAGAACAAATAATTTAATGTTAGCATTTTTTGAAACACGGAAATATTTACATTATTTTGAACGTACGTATTTGAAGCACGCTTTCAAATAGGAAGTTTTTAGTGAATTCTAAAAAAACACAATTTCTAACTTTCCTGGACCAACTGGTACCTTAAGGTCAAATCAGTCAAAAAATGCAGCGAAGTCTGAGAGCGAGGTTTTCGCGGCCATCGTGTAAAATCCTTGATCTGCCCAAAGCTCGGCCAGTCGCTACCCTCGAGCTTGTACTCTTTGTAATATGATATCCTAGCCAGACCCTTCTTCGCGGCAACTATTCGCTTTCAGGTGGCCGAGGAATGGCCAACGGTCGGCTATAACTAATTGACTAGGCCGACCGCTGGCCACGTATTATTCTTCGCCCCTCATTGACTTCGCATTTACCATGCCACCCGTCGTGAGCTGACAGTTGAGTAATTTACGACGTCTCTTTCCCCTCAAACATTGCACAACGCCTCCATTTGAGCAGCTAGTATGCGGGATTTTCCCTCCGCGTATCAGCAGGCTCGATCATAACTATTTTTCGGTAGAAAATATCTACAACAAGGAGGCTGATCAAGGAATGCCGAGTATACCATTCAATGGAGAATAAAAATTACAACCCTTTAACATCTCGAAAAAAGTTAAAAAGTCGCAGACATGATGAACAATAATATTCAAAGTTTCTTGAAATTTCCTCTCATTAAAACTCTTTTAATACAAAGTTTGCATATTTTTTGTTACTGGTCGACGCTTATAAATAAATTGCTGGGTAAGTATGGAAAAATCCATATCGCCATCTCATTTGCTAATGGAGTAAAGTCTATCCTAACTAGTGAAGAAACGCTTAGGGAAGAGCCGAGCCTGTTCGAAGCCTCTCGGTTTTCAATCAGGGCCTTAACTGATTGACAACATGAAGGAATCTAAGGAATCTAACAAAGAAAGTGACGTGGCTTATCGTCATTAAACATGCTATGAAATACAGCATAAAGATACTCATTGGCAGTGCATTTCACCTTCTATATCATGAGATTAACCACACATCTTCAAATTTTAATTAACAACGACAAAATATATAAGGAGCGAGGTCACACAAAACAATATTGAGAATTGTCAAGGCTTGAACAGCATAATTTTTTCGAAGATACCTCTTGACGTTCTGGAGCTAAGATGGACAATGGACTAGAACCAGAATAGACTTATACGCCATCAGTCTTAAATTATTAATTCACATAAACTCACCTGAGCATGTAAAGGATCTCGCCGTGCGGGTTGATCCTGACGAGGACGTTAGGCACGGTCACGAACTGAAACTCAGCGTGCTTGGCGTTGGGGAAATACACTTCAGGCTTCCAGATCGCCTTCACCAGCTTAGGGTCGTTCAAGTCCAGCGGCTGGACGAGATCTTCGTGCTTCAGTCGCGCATCATACCACGTCTGACGCAGGTACAAGTCCACTTGGTAGTCCTGAGAAAAATAATATTTAAATAATATATAATTATATGCTCATTCCTGGCAATGGGCAGGGTGGCCCAGTGAGTACAGTTCAGAGTACCAAGATTGGAGCAGAGAGGCGCGGGTTCGATCCCAGCTCTGTGCGCCAGTTTCTGGTCAGAATGGGTGCCATCAAAATTTGAAGTGCTGGAATGAGTTTTGAACACAGAACACAGAAATTTTTTTGCTAAAAAGATACTGGGAAACTTTTAAGTATACTTTTACTTTTCCTCACTGGGAAAGTGGATATCGAAAGAAATGGTCGCAGAAGAGGGGGACATAGTTAGTTGGTTAAAGTGGAGTCGTAGACGTCCCAGCATTCAATTTTAAATTCAACAAACACCCACTTGTCAGTGTGTACATTTCATATTTTTGTCATTTAACAGAGAAAAAAAGTGAAATATTCCGCTGTAATTTTTTTGAAAATATATTTTTCAATATACATCTACTTTATTTCAAATCAATACCTGAAATTTGGAAGTGCCAAAAAAAATTCTCAATTATGAAATCCCATTTTACTGCCTTAAATGATATTTCTGTCGGTAAATAGGGGTTTAGTAGCATTCATTACTGCTTAATGTTTACCAATTGCGATCCATTTAATTTTAGAGATTTGCACGACGAATGAAATTTAGAGAGGAAAATAGAGCACGAGTCATGTCATCCTGGCGGCTGCAATGCATTTAGAGAAATTAGTGAGACTTTGTTCAAATAGCGATGCACTCTCGGCGCTTGTGTGGGTCATCTGGACAGAACAAAACAGGTGTACCTATGCAACACCCGCTCGTTTCTCGTGATTTGGGTAAAAAATGTATTACTATTTAGAAAATAGAACCTGTTCATTTTCTGAGCTTGTTGTGTGTCATGGCTAACCAGTTCAGATGTCAAACTCTTGTCGCGTGTCATGGCCAACCAGTTCAGATGTCAGGCTCTTGTCGCGTGTCATGGCTAACCAGTTCAGATATCAAGCTCTTGTCGCTTGTCATGACTCACCAGTTCAGATGTCAAGCTCTTGTCGCGTGTCATGACCAACCTGTTCAGACGTCAAGCTCTTGTCGCGTGTCATGGCTAACCAGTTCAGATGTCAAGCTCTTGTCGCGTGTCATGGC